GAAATACTGTCATGTAAATTAATTGAGTTTCCAGGGCTATCAGATGAGTTCTGGCAAGGAGTTATACTTAAGAATATTTGAATTTTAGACTGGGCACTGGCTGGTGTCTGTAGAGCTTTAGGGTTCCATCTCTAACAAGCAAAGCTGCTGAAATTCATCGCTCCAGTCTGGGATTTACAAAACAGTTGCATGAAAAAAAAGTCTGGCCTTGCAAACATGCATGATATTTTCCCAAGTGTGAGAATACACCTTTAAAAGAAACAGGTTTTTCTTTTAGCTGTGTGACCTTGGTGAGGTTGGAGAGAAGTGCTGGCCTACCTCTTGTTCTGGAGAGAATTTTAATGGTCTACCCTTGTGTGCTGTTATTTACAGGTGTCTCTCCTCCCCTGAAGATGACTTTCAGCTGCTACCCCTTAGAGTGGCTACAGACCAATGCTGTAATTGCATTACAGACACACGTAAGTGACCTTGATCTTCTATTTACAGCATACAGAATATGTGATATTAATCATAAGAGTATTACATTTTTCAGTATCTGGTAAAAATAGGAACTTAGCTGAAGAGAGGATGCGTATTTTAGGAAATATGCTTGTTTCCATCTTTTGAGAAGGCTGTTTTCCTCATGCTTACTTCTGCCTAAGCAGGTTCTGGTCATTGCTTTATCATCTATATCATAATAATGAATATATTTTATAATATTATGAAAAGTATTGATTTGTCTTAAAATTTCACTTGGTAGTTAAACGTTTGACTGCTTTCTTCCCAGATTTAAGGTTTCCAGAGAATGTGTCTCTCCTGTCAGGACAAACTCAGTGCCATCAGACACATTTTCATCCGTAAAATAAGTATTGAGCGATTGCAAGATTTCTTCTTGTTCCCCCAAATAAAAGCCTCAAAAGGCAAGAGGATCCCATGTTGCTTTTGAAAAGTCAGGCTGGCAGGTGAAATGAAATTGCTTCTTTTATTCTCCCTGCATGCTGCTGTGGATGGCTTCCTCCCAAGTCCCAGCAACTATCAGGATTTGGAATTTCGGCGGCAAGATGCTTGTTGAGCATCATAACCAGCTCAGCTAGCTGGTGCACAGCGGTGACACAATCCCATTACTGACTGGGAACGCTGGCACTGGCAAGCGTGCATCTGGGCAGATCTGGTACTTTTCTGCCCTGCTTCTCACTTCTCTGATATGGAAGTGCAAGTGTTTATCCTGGTGTACTCTCCGGGCAAGCATGTGCGCATGTGTGCCTGCATACCGATGTTTCTGTCTTCCCCCAGCAGCTCCATGTTTCTGTTTTGCTGTGGTGACCTTTGTGCTGGCAGTGATTCCTTTCCCAGCAAGCTGCACATTCTCCTTCCTCTGTGTAAGCTATTAAAACCAGATGCGCTGTTACGATGCGCTTTTGTGGGCTGATTTCATTCCTTGGCTGGAATGGTGGGCTGATTCCCATGAAAACTGGGGGAAAGCCCATGAGGATTTAAACCCCTAAGTCTGAGCTAAACTCAGAAGATGATCAGAGGGCTGGAGCACCTCTCCTGTGGGGACAGGCGGAGAGAGTTGGGCTTGTTCAGCCTGGAGCAGAGAAGGCTCCGGGGAGACCTTATTGCAGCCTTCCAGTACCTGAAGGGGCTACAAGGAAGCTGGGGGGGACTTTTTACAAGGGTCTGTAGTGACAGGACAAGGGACGGGGGTTAAGAGGTTTAAATTGAAAGCGGGGAGGTTTAGATTAGATATCAGGAAGAAGTTATTGCTGGAGAGAGTGAGGAGGCACTGGGACAGGTTGCCCAGAGAAGCTGTGGATGCCCCATCCCTGGAAGTGTCCCAGGCCAGGCTGGATGAGGCTTGGAGCAACCTGGTCTTGTGGAAGGAATCCCAGCCCATGGCAGGGGGTGACACTGGGTGGTCTTTAAGGTCCCTTCCAACCCAAACCATTCTATGATTCTATGATCTGACTCAAAGTAGAAGCCACCTGGGAATGTTTCTATGGGTGATGACCACATTCCAGGAAGACCCACATCATCCTGCAGTCCTTTTAGCTGAGGATTGCTTTAGGCTTTCTTTTGGCTTGTGGTAGGTTGGGAAGAAGAAAGGCACAGCCAGAGTTCAGTATGTCATGATGTGACACATCTTCTCAATGGTTTTGGACCAATGGTTAACTAAAATCTTGAGATTTCTTGTGGAAAGTGTCCCTGCCATCAAGCTGTTGGTTTGAAGAGCTCTATACCATTTTGTTAGTTAATGAGATAGAATCATAGATTCTCTAGAATACATCAATATCTTTGTAATCCATCTACAGAGTACAGATGAGAATCACTCTGCAGCAACATGGAGTCTGGGTGCTGAATGTCATCTTGCACTGACAGTGTGTACGTGCACGGTCTCAACTACAATCAGTTGTAGAGTTGGCCAGTCCGTGCTGCCAGAAGTACTTTGGAACCAGCCCATGAAGAAACGGGCGCTAATGGCACATCAAGTCACCAATGGCCTAAGTATTTTGGAACTGGGGCTGCTCTGAGCAGCCTCCTGTGCTTGTGACGAGCAGCTGACCCCGTGTAGGGGAACGTTCTGGCTAGTTGTATTTTCTCACACGGTTTGCGCTGCCTCGTAACTGGGGTGTGTGAAGTGTGAGGAGAGCTGGCTTCCCCCAGAAACGGTTGACCTCAGATGTTTTAATGCATACTTGCTTGTCCTGGGGGCTGATTGAGGGAGCCTTGTGACAAACCTCGCGACCTAAACCGCAGGCTCTAGCACTGCTGGGGGAAATCAGCCACCTCCCTTGAGATCTGAGCGGGCTGTTGTTGAGAGCCTCCGTACGTGCAGGCAGGGGTTAAGCGTTATGAATTTGCAGTAGCCAGCCAGCTTTCCCATATAAGAGCACTGCACTCATTGGCTCTCTTTTACTGAGAAATCTATCTAGTCATTTCCTGTGCAAGCCCTTCTTCGCTTTGCAGAGAGCTATACAGCTGAGTAAATAACAATAATCCGTGGTTATTCCTTCTCACGGACAGCCTGGATTCCCTCACCACCACCAACTAGGAGTTCAACACTGTGCCATTAATAGTGTGCTAATATGAGCGTGGTCTTCTCTGCAGAAGAGGAGGACTCTCACCCATGGATGTAAATCATTTGGAGTCTGCTTTCATGCTTATTAGCGCTTGTCGACATTTGACTTGGTTTCTACCGAGAGGTTATTTACCCTCTGAAGGATCCATTGGGACTCCTTGTCCGATCAGTTCTTGGGTGGAGCTTGCAGCAACTTGGGGTAAGTGCTGTGCTCTTCTGACAGCAGGGCTTTTTTGTGCTGCGTACGCAAAATGGCTTGGTAAAGTCAAAAAGAAACAGCTCTTTAGAGAAGTGAAAGTTGAGCTGGCAGACAGAGAGTGTTTTCTGTGTTTCCTAGGGACGCACAAAATGCATGTATATATTATAGGGTCCTTTTTTTTAAGGACCATTTTGCTTTTGCTTTTAAACCAGACAGTCTGTCTGTACAAGACTGACAATAAATAACTCTCTCGAGCGCTGCGGAGAGATGGAAACTGCAGCCGAGAAATTATTTTGAGGAAAGGAAGACAGAAAAGCACAAGCAAACTATTATGGAAGTGCAAATAGCCCTCTAAAGGATCGGCAGATGTACCAGTAAGTGTTTGGGGGGAGGAAATAAGGCTGAAACGGGATTATAGGGTGTATGCCTGTGTGTGCAGCGGAATGTTTGTCATTAGAGTGCAGACTAAACTGAATGGCTGAATTATCATAACAGTTCATCTTGAAATCAGTCCTTGGATTTCTTGCTGTGAGCTGCATAAAGATGTTTTGTGGCTGTTTTCTGCCTGGAATTATGTTTCTCCACATCCTAATCCAAACAGGAATGCTTATGCTGTGTCAATTTACCTCTCTGCTGGTACAGGCAATGGAGTCTGGCTGTAGTCCCAGCAAGGGAGATTTCTCTTCAGAGAAAACCTGTTAACCATTTGGAGGGAGTACATGGGAGTAAGAGTTATTAAAGAAAGCTCTGCTTCAGGTTGGTAATCATGGATGTTTCCTTGCTGCCTCACAATCTGCATGCCAGTCTGCAGGCATACACTGACCACGGATCACTTGCATTGGGTGTGGGTCTGATATTTATGAAGAGATGTCTCAAAAGAGTAAAAAAGCAGTACCGGACATTCAGATGAGAGAAGTGGGCTGGCTGGGTGCTGGGATGAATACAGAAGTGGGCTGGCTGGGTGCTGGGATGAATACTGATGTCCGTGCTGCAGATCTGGATCCAGTGTTGCTCCTGGGAGAGGTGTGTAGTGTTCAGGCTCTGAGCATCCACATGGCATCTGGGGTGTGTGTTTGCCTGTGCTGTGGAGCTGGAAGTTCACGTGGACAGCCAACAGCTCCAAACAGTGGGGAGATGCCACTCATTTTGCCCCAGGATGAAATGAAGGAATGCGTGAGTGATATGGACATAATTTGTGTATATGTTTTCCCTGTAGAAATAGCATAATACTTACCAACAGGGAACAGGAACAAACTTATCCCTCTGTTCCAAAGAAGGCCTACAGTTAACCTTTTCTTTCTGGCCACTTGGTGACTGGCCTGTGTTGGCTGCACTGAGACAAGAGCAATGACCGTAGTCTCCTAAAGATCCACTTCCTTTGCCTTTTATGTAAGGAGCCTGTGCTGCTGCCAACAGGTGAGGTCATCTCACAAAGGGGGTTCATACGTTCTGCAGACAAAGTTGCTTGTTTTTCATGAACTGCTTTTGGGCTTTTCCTTACCAGTGGTACCTGTTCAAGGCCTTGATCCTTGATTCAAATACTCCCACTGTGCAGAGTTTTACTGAAATCTCCCTCTCGAGGGACCCGTAGTCAACTGTGGGAAGGCTGGACGTGGCAACATGCTTTCCTCTATGTCTGCACTGTACGCATTGTAGGTGTGTGAACATTCTCCCTCTCCCTTGCAGGTTTAGTTTCCCAGCGGGGAACATCTTTGGTGATCTGCAAGACCACCTCTACAAGGAATGGATAACTTCACAAATGGGCAGTCGGGCCCAGGTCAGAGGAACAGGTTGATAGGATTGCTGGAAACAGATGACAGCATCCAGGAGGATAAACCTGCATCTAGTAAAAAGGAAGAAGGATCAGGACATGGAAGAAAAGGAGAGCCACGGCCCTTGGAGACACCTTATCAGAAGGAGAGCAGTGACTTTCCTCCTAAAGTCAAGGTTAATCTGAATTATCGGCCGGGACTCGTCAGCAAGTGAGTAACGTGGATATTTGTGGAGGGTGGGACCCCTGTTGATCTGTACGGATCGTGGGGGCCTGCTGGTTTTACCAAAGTCGGAACTGAAAGCGACAATACAGGACTATTACAGGAATCGTGGGGGAGGTAATTAAAGGCAGAAGGGGAACATACTAGCCCTTTCCTTCTGCACTGGAAGGTGTGTGCTGTATTTTGGGGATATCTGAACGAGCACCAAATAAGCCAAGTTGGGTGTAAGAGCAGCTGAGCATGGAGCCCTGTACAGCTGAGCGGTTCTTGCCGGGGAGGGATGTAAACTAGCTCACAGGGTGCTTCACACCATGTGATGGGACTGACTCTGGTCCTGCAGCTATCTTGGGCTTCTCTTTCTTTGCGCTCTGGATGCATTCCAAGGTTGCACATCAGACTGGATCTGGGAAGAGCTCCAGCTGATGGAAAGAGCAGCCACTTAAGAGAATTCTGGGAAATAACAGTCTCTCTTTTTCCCTTGACTCAAAAATAAAATACTTGTTTTTTTCTGACAAACTTTTCTGCCTCCCTCCTTTCTTACCCCCTCCCAAGAGCTTACCGCACACTTGCATTCCGCTCTCCGGAACTTCCTAACGCTTCGCATCTCTTCCGCAGCCAAAAGGACCCCAGTCGCTTTGACAGAGACAGGCTCTTCAGCGCAGTCTCAAGGGGCAGCCCCGAGGCCCTGGATGGTTTGCTTGAGTATTTAAGGAGGACCTCCAAATTTCTCACCAATTCTGAATACACAGGTAGATTCCCATTTGGTACTCCATAGAGAGAGTTAGCAGAGGCAGCGCTTGTTAACGCAGGAGAGAAACAGGGGAACTTGTTTGTGGGTTTTTTCTTTCTCCAGCCCTCTGTCTATTCTTTTATTTCTCTAATTTCCACCTGAGGATGGAGAATGCCATTAATTATATATATCCTAAGATTTTTGCCTCTGCTGCAGACTAAAAATACTGAGAAAGACCTTTAAAATTATTGTTGTATTGGTTCTGACTGTTCTGGGCACACTGAATCGGGTAACAGAGATGTGTGCAGAGTACATGTGCAACCCATTCGATACCCTCTTTCCATTAGATGCAAAGACTGGGAAGACCTGCTTAATGAAAGCCCTGTTGAACTTAAAAAATGGAAAGAATGACACAATCCCACTTTTGCTGGAAATAGACCAAAAGACACAGAATCCCAGGCCGCTTGTCAATGTGGCGTGCTCTGATTGTTACTACAGAGGTAAGGTTTCTGTTCTGATGCTGGGTCAAAGCAGCCTCCCCCTTAGACAAGTGGGGAGATACAAGGAAAAAGAGTTTATGTGGCACTGCAGTTCCAGAGTTCTGGTGCAGTTCCACTAACAGCCTATGCACCTTTTAGCTCTGATTTCTGATCCTGGTCTGTGTCCTCTTCAGCCCTGAATTAGACACGTTACTTCTGCAACTGTGTTCTCTGTCTATACAGCAGAAATTATAGATGTTTAATAACTGAGGAATATGAGAGGCTTTGCTTTGGAAAGCTTAAAAAGCATATCTAAAAGTGAAAAAGAAATAGTATATCACTATTAAAGAATGAGTTCTGCTGTGGTTGTGTTATCCTTCTAGTAGTAGCCATGCAGCACAGTCATGTACGTGTATGGTTGTCTTTATCCTCTCACGGCTGCTTGGATCTTTGTGCCAGGCAAGAGGAATTGCCTGGTCTTGTGTTGAATTTCTGGCAGTCTTGGGGCTTTGTCTGACTCTGTCTTTGCGACGTGCTTTTCCAATGAACACTGGTGAAAGTCGTCAGTTGCCACCCGCCCCTTGCCCAGCACTGAGACTGCAGGGTTGCTACGCCAAACATGCAGCGACTGTTGAGACGTCGGTTTGCTGAGAGTCTTTTGCCTGCTCCCCCCGAGAGTTGGCACCAAGTGACAGGTTTTCCTGTTTCCTTAGGCCAGACAGCACTCCATATCGCCATAGAGAAAAGGAGCCTAGATTTAGTAAGACTTCTGGTAGAGAATGGAGCTGATGTCCATGCCAGAGCCCACGGTGAATTCTTCAGGAAGACGAAAGAAGGAGTTTACTTTTATTTTGGTGAGTCAGTGTGGAACACATTCCTTTGCCTTTTTTTATTGCCTTGCTGTGTGCAATGCCACTAATTCTCGGTTGGGTTTGTCCCTCTGGTTGCTATTGCCATTGTCCTGCAATCAAGCTCTTGACTTATTTGAACAGCAGGATCGTTTCACAGACTGAGGTGTCCAATGAGCATTTGCCTTCATCTTTGGTTTTATGTATGTAATGTGTCTGAGGGGCTTCAGACAGAGGCAAATACTTGGTTAGTTTAGCCAAATTATGGGTCTGGGAAAATGTTTTGGCTGCCCCCAGAAATAAGGAGTAATTGTTTACAAAACAAAACCCTTTCTGAATCTAGAGATACTGAGAAAGAACTTGTTCTGTGTTCCAGTGGTAAAACTATGGGCTAAATATATTAATTTTTTTCTTCTCTAATTTTTTTCACCCCTTTCTGCCTCCCCTCCAAATACTGTCTGAATCTCTTCAGGTGAACTTCCCCTTTCCTTGGCTGCGTGTACCAACCAGCTTGAGGTGGTGGAGTACCTTCTAAACAATCCTCACCAGAAGGCCAGGCTCCAGGAGCAGGATACGCAGGGCAACACAGTGCTCCATGCCCTGGTGATGATTGCAGATGACACCAAGGAGAACACCAAGTTTGTGAGCACGGTATACGTGGAGATCTTGAAGGCAGGCGTGAAGGTTGACCCAACATGCAAACTGGAGGAGATAGTGAATTATGATGGATTAAATCCTTTGCAGCTTGCTGCCAAGACAGGCAAAGTGGAGGTAAAGACAATTACTGGGCATCCCTGGGGTGGCTGAGGGAAGACTCAACATGTAGTAGCGCTGCTGACAGATGCAGTGTCACAGGAGACAAGAAGGGAGGCCTCCTCCGGGCCACTCCAGTTAGTGTCTTGCAGACTCTCAGCTGGCTGCTGCTGCTCTCTGCCCCAGCTGAGACAGCTGGTCTGGACTGAAATTGGTTCTGCTCCTGGAAGAGCTGATACAAGACCCTCCTAGGCTAGAGGAGGGTGTCCCAGCCCATGGCAGGGGGGCTGGAACTAGATGATCTTTAAGGTCCCTTCCAACCCAAACCAGTCTGTGATTCTGTGGTTCTGTAAGTTGTAGTTAGATTGCCTGCTTTTAGCCAGACAGTCCGGTATATGTAATGCAGAAAGCCAGGTGTCCTGGATCTGAAGGGGATTTGGGTGTGCTTGTGTCATTCTCACCTTCATTACATTCACAGTTGTCTGGTACCCATCCTGTTTCTCTTCAGATCTTCAAGCACATCATCCAAAGAGAGATCAAAGACCCGAGGTACAGGCACCTCTCGCGCAAGTTCACCGAGTGGACCTACGGGCCTATCCACGTGTCTCTCTATGACCTGTCCTCGATAGACAGCTTTGAGGAGAACTCTGTGCTGGAGATCCTGGCATACAGCAGTGACACACCGGTGAGGGCTTTCACTGAAGGCCAAAGGCAGCAACGTTGTTTCTGCCTATCTGTAGTGTCTGTGTAATTATGCAGATGGTTTCAAGTTCGTGTGCTGTTTCCCATGATCATTTTTCTAGAAAATAAACGCATGATGGAAATATTTGCATATTTTATTCTTTATAGGCTGCTTGGTATGCCTCTGATAACCTAAAATATGAGATAAAGGGTTGTCCTGAGCCTGGGTGTGTACAAACACCTTGATGAAGCCAAACAGAGTAACTCCATATAGGATAGTTGATTTCTTTCATGCTGAAAGGCTTGCCTGAATAAACCTTTAGGGATACCCTAGATGGAGCCACTGAACTCCAAGCCTGAAAAGGTCAATCCTCTGGTGAATTTGCATTCCTGTTGACACGTGGGTAATATTTTTGTTGTTTATTTTTCCATAGAATCGGTACAAGATGGTAGTTTTGGAGCCACTGAACAAACTGCTCCAGCAAAAGTGGGAAACGTTTGCTTCCAAGAGATTCTACTTCAGTTTTGTCTCATATTTGTCATTCATGATCATCTTCACAGCCATTGCGTACTATCAACCCTTACGGGTGAAGGTAGGCCCAGTCATCTTTTCTGTGGAAAGGGCGGAATGGGAGGCTGAGTTTAAAGAGGCAGGGTGGTTATTGTCACTACCTCTGCCTGTTTACGATGGTTTGGGTTTTTTTTATTTTTTATCTTGCAGCCTTCATTTCCAGTGGAATTCACGGCTGGAGGCTTCCTGTGGGTCTCTGGACTGATCATTATCTTGCTAGGAGGCATTTATCTAATTTTTGCTCAGGTAGGGGTATCTCTCATCTAGTTTCATTGTAAGAATGAAGAAAAAGGAAAGCATGCCTGACATTGAGGCAGCAGATCTGGTTCTCCTGACATCAGGATGTGCATGAGTGGATGGCAGGAGGGAATCCTGCTCTGAGGCCCAGTATCAGTGCGATCTAGCAGTGACAGGGGTGGCATAAGTCAGGTTGCTGGGCAAGAGGAAGAACAGGCTCACAACAGTAAATAATTATGAGAGTTCGGTGATTTATGGTGCTAAAATGCATCTTTGGTATTTAATGTAGTCTGTTAAAAAAGACATTGATCTGAGCCATGATTCAGCCCTTGTTTATCCTTCCATTTATAAATAAGGCCTTTTTTTCATCTTGGAAGGATGACTCATTGAAATTTGGGATCTTGAAAATGAAAGCATGAAGAGGAACTTATGGAGCAAACCTTTCCCCTGAGCGATAGGCTATGCCGAGCAGGATTCCCTCTCTAGCATGCCCTGTTGTTGTTCTGATGAATGGCTACCATTGGTTTTCCTCTATCAGAGTCTCTACTTGAGGAGGAGACGCCAGTCCCTGAAGACTATGTGTTCCGACAGCTGCATTGAGATCTTGATGTATGTCTCTTGAGGTTTTTTGCACAATGAAAGCACGGGTCACATTGGTTCTCTGCTGTGTGCAGCTAAGTTGCCCTAACATTACTAGAGAGATGGTGAGCAGGAAAGATTGATTCTCTGCCGCTGTCTCCTCTTTCCATCCCTTCCCTGCTTGCTTCTCCTACCTGCTGCATCGTGTCATAACCCTTTTTGTAACGGCCTTTGGTGGGTAGGGTCTGTCCTTGGATTTGTGGCTGAACACAGTGAAGGTCAGACCCTCAATTATTCCACAGTTCAGAACATACACTTGTTAGAAAAAAAGCTCAAGTTTTAAATCACCCAGTCACTGTGACTCAGATTTGGTCAGAAGGGAAGTAACTTCAGTTTGCAGAGGAGAAATAGAACCATAGAATCACAGAATGGTTTGGGTTGGAAGGGACCTTAAAGATCATCTAGTTCCAGCCCCCCTGCCATGGGCAGGGACACCTTCCACTAGACCAGGTTGCTCAAAGCCACATCCAGCCTGGCCTTGAAGACATCCAGGGATGGGGCATCCACAGCTTCTCTGGGCAACCTGTCCCAGTGCCTCACCACCCTCTCTGTGAAGAATTTCTTCCTGATATCTAATCTACGTGTAGTTGCATGTGTGTGCATGTGTCTGTAAGTGTTAAAATGCTTTTCCACTTAATACCTGTTATGTGAGTTGCATCAGGCAGTTCAGTTTCCACACTCTTAAGATTAACCAGTTCATAACAACTGCAACAACTTGTGCGTCTGGTTATAACAGGATTCGCTTATGCAAACTGTGTGTCTGAGTAACTGCCACTTCGTACGCTCCATGCAGCCCGGTAAAATGTGTTTGCTTTCCCTTGCAGAACTGCAAATGTGCTTTTTTGTTGAGGTAGGTCACTGTCTCACTCATTCTACTTCTCTCCAGCTTCATCCAGGCTTTCTCCCTGCTGCTGTCAGCAGTCCTGTATGGTGCAAGTTCCGAGAACTATGTGGCAGTGATGGTGCTCTCCCTGCTTTTGGGGTGGGTGAACATGCTGTACTACACCCGGGGCTTTCAGCGCACCGGGATCTACAGTGTCATGATACAGAAGGTCAGTACCTGGAAAAAACCTTGTACGAAAAGCTTTTGGGTGGGAGGAAATAATGGAAATCCTGCAATTGCTTTGCTTCTCTCAGGTCCATGAAAAACAGAAATGGAATCAATGTACTGACTGTGGAAGGAAAGAAATTGCAGAAGGAGATTAGATCAGTGTCTTCAGGGAAGTACAGTTGCAGCAAGCCAATAGTTTGCCATCTTTGAATATAGCAAGTGAGAGCAGCCGACACCTGTTTCTTATGGAACGTCTCAAAACTAGCAGTCAAACCCAGTCTGAGTTCTCTGGAACTGTTATGCTTGGGCTGAGGAGTGGTTCCAGACGCCCAGAGGAGTCTGGGACTAGAAAGGGGCCAGTAGTGTTGGTTTATGATGTGTGAGAACAGACCATCCCGGTGATTTCATGTGAGGTAAAGGATGGTGCTTCCTCCTGGTTTGTGTTTCAGACTATTCTGAGGGATCTGCTGCGTTTCCTCTTGGTATATATGATCTTCCTCTTCGGCTTTGCTGCAGGTAAGGACTTACTCAGCATCATGCTGTAGGCTGGGCTGCAAGGCGTACACTTTACTCAGGAGGGTTCAAATTCTGTTTTTCTCACAGCTCTGGTTACGCTGATGGGGGATGCTCCCTCGGTCTCTCAGAACAAGTCCCTTGCTCAGATGGAGAGCGCTGGCAGCCACGCTATGTATGGCGGGCTGCTTAGCGTCTCCCTGGAGCTCTTCAAGATCACCATTGGGATGGGCGACCTGGATTTCCAGGAGCATGCCAGATTCAGATACTTCGTCATGTTCCTGCTGCTTCTCTTTGTGATTCTCACTTACATTCTTTTGCTCAACATGCTGATTGCGCTCATGAGCGAGACCGTGACAGATATTTCGAGTTGCAGCAAAAGTGTCTGGAAGCTGCAGGTGAGAGATGGTGCCGCTCAGCACTTAGGGCCCACGCTCCTACTTGAGCCTCATAGCAGCAGAGGTGACAGTGCCTGTCTTTTTCCTAAGCCTCTGCTATGAACTGCTCTTTTACATAAATTTGTCACTCTGGGGGCAAATCTTAACATCGTTTTTAGATGTATTTAAAACTCCTGCTGGTTGCATGGCTACCAACCAGACCAGATCCGCATGCATAAGTAACTGACTGGTACTGTTGAGCTAAGGAGCACTTTGGTATTGAGTTCCAAAGTGATTCTGTGAGTTGAAATAGTGGCTGGTTGGGGAAGATTTACTCAAAAAGAGAGGCTGGGCTCTGCAGGCCCTGTTTTCTCTCTGACACGGACTTCTTCTTTCAGAGGGCTATTGCTATTCTAGAAATAGAGAAGGCCTGGCTGTGGCGCCAAGGTGGGAAGAGGAGATCTGGCTGCTTTGTGTCAGTGGGCCTCAATAAGAAGGATGAGAGATGGTGTTTCAGGTAAGAGAGATGCGTCATCACTGCTTACACTCCAGCCTAGTAAGGGGTTCCTGTGATTCATAAGCTGCTAACCCTGAACTGCCACAGGGAATTCCAGCATGGACTCATGGGAGCGACTCAACCACATGTTCCTGGTACATGTAAATTGGTTGGTGATTGCAGTGCAGGACACTTGAGAGCTAGTTGATCTGCCAGCATTGTCACTGAGACATGCTGTCATCAAAAGATGTCCTGTTTGGTAGAATCATAGAATCTTTTTAGTTGGAAAAGACCTTTAAGATCAAGTCAACTGTTACCCTAACACGGCTAAGACCATCACTAAACCATGTCCCTAAGCACCTCGTCCACAGTCTCTTAAATCCCTCCTGGGATGGTGACTCCACCACCTCCCTGGGCAGCGGATTCCAATGCCAGACAGCCCTTTCTGGGAAGAAATTTTCCCTAATATCCAATCTGAACCTTCCCTGGTGCAACTTGAGGCAGATGGACCTTTCTCCATCCAGCAAATCCAACTGAACTGCAGGTCCAGGGTGTTACAGGCACTGGAGCATGTATAGAAAGTGGAATCTTCTCCTTTGGATTAAGTATGTTCCCTGGGAGGAGCTGATATGCAGGGAAAAAACATATTTACCTTGTGGAGCTTAGACTACAGATCTTTATTCAAAAAAAAGCTCTGCAGAGTATTGTTGTTACATCCAAACTGTTGGGATTGTGTTGGCAGGGTGAGCTGCATTGGGATGCTGTGGGACAATGAGACAGGGGCTGAAATGCTGTGCTCCTGCATCCCTGTCTTTGCATTTTTTCTCTCCAGAGTAGAGGAAATCAAATGGGCGAATTGGGCAAAGGACGTGGGAGTTCTTAAGGAAGATCCTGGAAACACCAGTGATTCAGAAATAAATCCAGAAAGTAAATTAAATCATGAAGAAAGGTCTTCAGTGTCCTTTTTCCCTGGTGCAACTTGAGGCAGATGGACCTTTCTCCATCCAGCAAATCCAACTGCAGGTAAACTCCAGGGTGTTACAGGCACTGGAGCATGTATAGAAAGTGGAATCTTCTCCTTTGGATTAAGTATGTTCCCTGGGAGGAGCTGATATGCAGGGAAAAAACATATTTACCTTGTGGAGCTTAGACTACAGATCTTTATTCAAAAAAAAGCTCTGCAGAGTATTGTTGTTACATCCAAACTGTTGGGATTGTGTTGGCAGGGTGAGCTGCATTGGGATGCTGTGGGACAATGAGACAGGGGCTGAAATGCTGTGCTCCTGCATCCCTGTCTTTGCATTTTTTCTCTCCAGAGTAGAGGAAATCAAATGGGCGAATTGGGCAAAGGACGTGGGAGTTCTTAAGGAAGATCCTGGAAACACCAGTGATTCAGAAATAAATTCAGAAGGTAAATTAATTCACGAAGAAAGGTCTTAGTTTCCTTTTAACATCCTGCTCAGCAACTACTTCTGGCATGTTACATCTTTGGTAACAGAAATTTCAGGCAGACCAGCTTGCTCATGAAATTGCTTCCAGCCCGCATCCCTCAGTAGTAGCAGCATCACTTGTGAGCGGAGGAAATAAAGAATTACAGAAGGTATGGGCCTGGTGAGAGTTTGGGAACAAATCATGAGACTGAAGGAGATGCCATTCCTACTTATCTCTGGTAGAAATGGCCAGGAAAGGCTGCTGAGAAAAGGAAGGGCTGCTCCTCCTTTTGACTCCGTAGCTCAAACACACGGTGCTTTTCCTAGGAAAGGTCAATTTAGGCTACTCATGCTTTGAGTGTTAAAATCACAGGGCTTTTGTAGCACAAATCAGGGCATTAAACCTGCAACTTTGTCAAAGTCTGTGTAAGAGAATTGTGTTGCTGCCCTTGTTACACCTGGGAAGCAACTCTGTGTGGCACAGTAGCTACTTTCTCTGGAAATCTTTGCTCAGCCTGGCAGAGCCTGGGCAGAAGGATGTAAACATGTCCTCCTAGATGCCAGTTTTCTAGGTGTGGGGAGGTTGCAACACTTAAAATCCTGTCTGTTGCATGCTGGGTTTTCCCTGAACCTGTGCATTTCTAAAAGCTGGATCCCTTTGCCAGCTGCCTGCTGACAAAGGGCTGCTGTTTTCATGTCTCCTGCTCTAGAGACGAGATTGTGGAAGCGGATGCCAGAGAAACAGCCGAGATCAGAAGTTTCAGAGGAGCAGTCACTACTGCAGCCCCAGCTATCAGCAACTGAGATGATGCCTCTAGAGGGACAAAGCAGATATCTTTAGCAGGTTTTCTGGATTGCAGCCTTGCTTCCAACTTCAAAGGATTGGTTCTTCCTGGAGTGGGTGGAAGAATTGAAGGCATTACCGGTATTAAAGTGCATTTCATCAAGGACTCTGGTTCAGCCTGTGGCTTTAAATATTTTCATGCACTTTAATCATTAATTTCCTCTGAAAAAACTATTTTTACTCAATTTTCTTTGTCTGACACCGTCTTATTACTATGTCTAATGGTGCAAGATCGTAGGGGCAGTGGGGACTGGGCTTTGGGAAGGCAGTGCTTTCTGAGCTGCGTAGAAATAATGCTGTTTGCCATAGAGAAGCAAAGAATGGGGTGACCCATCTAGGAATGGGTTGACTGTATTTTTTTTGGCACAAGAGACTGCACTGAAGTGCGTTGGAATAAAGAGCGTTGTATAGGCATAAAAAGTTATTAAGGGTGGAGTTGGCTTCTGTGCAAAACACTGTCGGTGTGAGACATGGGTGGACAAACAGTCTTCAGTCATCAAGAGCCATACTGAGTCTTTGTGTCAGTACCTGCAGCGCTCGGTGTTTAGCCCACATCAGAATTTCCATGTTACAGTATGACAATGAAATCCTTTGCACCATGTGTGCATTTGCTTAAGAGCGCAAAAGGCATGTGCCTTTCCTGGGCCTTCCCGTGGTGATTTTCTGAAACATCTGCCTTTCACAGGTCGGTTTGTCTCTACAGAAAACTGCAGCAGAATCCTTCATGTGGCTTCTGAGAGACAGGCTGACCAAAACATACCGTGTGGTTAACATTTCCTGTCAGTCTTAGTTGGCATCCTGCCTTGCTGTAAACGATTACAAGAACCTCGTTGCTTCTTGTCGTGTGCACACTGCCTCGGGCAGGATGGGAAATGTACTCTAAACTCTGTGGAAGAGATAAAAACGAGCTGTCTCACTTTCAGCCTATATTTAAAAATAATAACCTGTATTGCTGTAAACTACCAATATAAAAAGTTTACTTAATAGGAAGTGTTCATCCATGGACGTATTTTCAGAGCTTCAGACTCTTTCAAAAAGGAAGAGAAGACGTGATCAGGGTGGACTATAAGGCCTTATCGAATTCCTGATTACCTTTCACCCAGCACTGTGCTGACCTCACTGCCATCGAGTGAACCCCTGTTTTTCATGACCTCATCTCAGTTTATGCAGCCACATCTGAAGATGTAACAGCCGATGTTGCATCGGATTCATCTTTCATAGAGGGAATGGCTAGTGATAACCCTGAAAAAGCTGCAGACTACAAATGTTGGCAGCACCGTTCATTCATTAAGATGAACTATGCAACTCAGGATCTCCTGTCTCTCATTTCTACTCCAGGTGAAGCTAGGAGGTTTGTTTTTGGGGGACAACCATCATGATCCTGTTGCTTATGACGTGCATGGGACTGGCAGCAAAAGCTTTGCTTTTAGAACTTATTCCCTGTCACTACAGATGGATTCTTGCCCTGTGCTGGGCAATTCCCTCTGCAGCTTCACCGTATTGGGTCTCTGAACTGTAACTAGCTTTTCTCACTCCAGCTTCTGCTGTTTTCTTGCTTTGTGCAGCCTTCAGCTGCTTTTTCCATCTATGGCTTTGTCCTAAGTGTTCCCAAGATTTGGCAAGGTGCTCATATTGCACAGAAGGATCATCTGGCACATGGTAATCTATTGCTGTGCTTGGGGCTAGGGAAACTTGGAGATTCTCAAGAAATGCAGAATCTGATCTGCCATCCCTGTCTGGAATCCTAATACAGAAGAGAAATCTTGCATCTTGGTAGTGTTTTTGATAGCTGTGTCAGCTTGCTTTCAAGATAACCTGCCTCCTTGGCCTTTCCTTGAACCTGCTTCTCTTTAAATCCCTTTCTTAAGCTTGCGGTGCCAGTTTATCTTAGACCTGCATCACAAATGTTCTTAAACATCTAGTGTGAAACAGGGCCTTGGCATTCCTTGTGCTTCACAGTCGTGCCACAGCCCACCAGTCCCAGCCGTCTCGAGCTCATGAATGAGATGGTGATGGGCAGCAGGCAGGGACAGGCACACGCAGCACACAGGTATGTCTGGTTGGTCAGTAGATGTGGCAGTGCCCAGGCTGTTGTACAGTTCTTTGCAGTGCTGTGGAAAATGGGATTTTTGAGGAGTTGCCACCTCTCTGCAGTGAGAGGTGAGTCTGAGATTAATACCAGTTACCTTCCAGTTTTCTGTTTTCTTAGTGAACAAGGCTGGTCTTTGGTTTTATCGTCTGAACCGCTTCCCGTTACAACCAGGAAGGCTGCCTGGGGTTTCTTTTGTGGGACATCTGCAGTTCCTTGCAAGATGCAGAACTTAAAAGCTGGTTCATAACTTTGAAGGCCCAGCAGAGTTTGGGGATTTACTCTTAATAGATCATAATGCTTGGTCAGGAAACAGTTGTTTACACAAGACATTATCAGCAGATGAAGTGCCCTCTCCCTTCTACCTCTTGTGGCAGGTAAACCCACCCACATGGGAAGCACCTGCAAACGGGGAGGCTTTGCAGGGCTTTCATCTGAGAAAACAGACACCTTTGACAAACACCAGGAAAGGAATAGCTGCAGTTTCTCTCCTCTGTCTACTCTGTGTGTATGAGCCACGAGCCATTCCACCAAGAAAAGACACCAGCAGCTCTTCCCATGTAGGGTTATGGGTGCTCACACCCTCCCTGTGTGATGTGGTCAAGGCTGCTTGGTTCCTGGCAGGGTTGGGAGCTGAATGCAGACCTGGTTGTTCCAAACTCCCCCTCCTCCTCTGCTCCAGCACCCTTTGCCTGGTCATAGCTCCCTGTGACCCCTCTACAAGGCTCCAAATGCTCCCCACCGCCCAGCGATCTACCTCGCCGCTTACCTGTGTAATTTTCTTAAAAAGAACCTTCATGTCTGGTTTGTATGGTTCCCAGTTCCCCACAAGGCCGTTTTCCTCAGGGGTATAGGGGGGAGCAAGACTTTCTTGTTCCTCAAATGCTTCGCACGTTTTATTTTATTGTTTATTCCTTGTTCTTTTCAAAGCGTGCTCTGAAGCTGAAGCCGGTATGGGGAGGTTTGTCTGTGTCCTGGCTGATTCCCTCTCTCTTCATCTTGTTGTGACCCCACTTGCAGCTAAGTCTACTTTCCCTTGCCTCTGGAGCTAGCAAAAGGAGTGAAATGTGATGAACAAAAGGGCTCAGACAAAGACCAGAGTCTCTGTGTAAGTGCATAAGCTGCAAGGAGCTATTGCTGAAGCGGTGTGGCTGGCAGATGGCTGGGCTGGACTGCTCCTGCGGCTGGCTCCTAGCTTTGCTCCTCTGCTGTGATTCAGAAATTTCATTTGTTGCTCCCCGACTGAAACGAAAATAAATTTGAGAAAAAACCCCAGACATTTGAAAAGAAAACCATTCCACTTTGCAGCCTCCCATCTGCTTCAGCAGCACGAGTGGGGCCAGACAGGACAAGGCAAAGCCTGAGAAAGGCAGGACTGGGGCTGCTTCTTGGCTGGCACCCCACTGTTAGTAAAATCTGAGGGCAAAGCGGGTTTTCTTCACTTCCTCTTTTGACGTGATCTTTCTGCCCGTTCCGATTCAGGAGGTGGGGAGTGCTGCAGCATTTCTGCCCTGTGAGAATGGCTGTCGGATGTTCAACACACGGAGCCCTGGGAGGGAGCTGGAGGTTCGCTAGAAAGTGTCTGTGTGTGATTTGTTGCACTTTCCTGGGAATATGTGGAAAATTTACACTTTCTGGGCAAAGAGAATTGCATCTCTGGAATGGCTTTCTCCCCCTTCTCTCCGCCCCTCCTTCCGAAAGGATTTGCTGTGGAGTTAACTTCTGGCCATTTCAGCTCATTTAGCACTTGCAATAACACGCTGTATCCAAATAGTAGTTGCTACACAGCACTCTGATAGCGTGAACTATTTGGGAGTTATTTCTGGGCTAGTCTCATCCGAACTAGGGCCAGCAGCACAGAGGAACCAGGGATCAACAGAAACCACGGAATTGCTGGTAGAGGGGAGGAGACGCGCGGTCCCTTAACAGATCCTGGGCATCCTGCCACGAAACATCGCTGTTTCTGACACCAGAAATACACAAAACAGAGCACTTGGTGTTCCCCTTTTGCGTGTGTAAGGGGAGGATGAACCTCTGCAATAAAAAAATGCCTATGAGGGACATTTGAGAGCTGACATGTCTGTTAAATCCCTGCTGTGAGTTCACTCGAGTCAATCTGCACGTTTCCGAGGGATGTGGCATGCCATGGACAAGGTGAGTAGTACAAACATCAACCCTAGCAGCTTTTCCAGACAGATCCTGGTGTGCTAGGTATACCGAAGGTGCTGATGGGCAGAAATGGAGACGTTGCTAAAAATTACCTTTCAGTAACAGAACCTTACCTTTTGCACTTGCCAGGTTATTGAAGTGTCACTGGTGTAAGCCGTGAAACCTCAGGAATTCCACAATGGTCAGTTTGTCTCAGCAGGCACGATGAGACACACAGATCTGGAGAATCCTCGGAGCAAGAGAGCAGCTTTTGCTTGGTATCTCCAGTCCTTGTCCGTCCTTCGTCTTGAAGCTGGGAACAAACAGATTGCTGCTGCATCTACTCTTCCTAATGGGTGAGTCTTACCTCTCTATTTACTCTCCCTGTATATTAGAGAATTAAGGTCTTAGTCTGGAAACAGTACCTTGTGGAGGCTCAGATTGGTCCCTTAATGTGGGCCAATAAAATGCTTCTTACATAGAAAGTTCAGGATGTTTGGACTTGTGCAGAAAGTCCTTAGTTTGTGATGTGTTTTTCTACTGTTTCAGAGGAATTCATGCTTTTGGGTGGAGAGTTTTATCGTTCATCCTTAGCAGGAGAAAAGTGGCTGCAGGGTGAAATTATGCTCTCAAATACAAAGCTAACAAGCTGTGTTTGTCCTTTTATATATTTTTTGTTTACTGGCTGCTTGTAGTTAAGTAGGTGAGAGTAGAATGCAGGTGAGATATTTTTATATTCTTCCCTTGTTAGCATTGTTTCAGAAACCCCTTGGATTAAGCAGCGTGCACTTTCAGAGATAGATTTCCCACAAGTCTTTGGCTTGTTGATCTCCTTAACAAGAGCTCTAGAAGATGTA